AACCAGCCAATACTGAGCAGTAGAGTGAATAGGCTGGGACATCCTGGTCTGAAGGGGAGGATCTGGAAGTGAGTGGGAGGAGTAGGAGAGAAAAAAATGGGGAGGAGAGGACTTGGAACCAGGAGGAGAGATGAACCGGACCTAAGATATCACTAAAAGCAAGTATAATGTGAAAAATCTAAATGGAAGCAAACTATGCAGGCTTGGAGGTTTAGGATGAAATGACTATTGCCCAGCATTATGCTTAAGATTAATGAAATAAATCCTAGTCTCTGTGTAATATGGGTGGTTTAGGAATAACCACTGTTTAACTAAAAGACAAATCAATAATAAATATTAATAATCAACAACACAGAGGACTAGAGTTCAGTTTGTTGCACCGAAATGGCAGCTCACAACTATCTGTAACTACAATCCCAGGGAATCTGATGCCCTTCTCTGACCTCATAGGTTCCAGCATGCACATACTCTCTCTCTCTCTCTCTCTCTCTCTCACACACACACACACACACACACACAAACACACAAAATATTTTTAAAAATACTTAAAGGCCAGCTTCTGCTATATAATAAGGAACCTGAAACAAATTAAACACAAGGCTATACTTTCACACAATAATGATTACTCCCAAAAGTAAAACCTTGTTTCAGAAATCCCTCCTGAAAAAAAAACAAAAAACAAAAAAAACATGAATCACATTGTATGCCATGTTATAGATTAAAAAAAATATTTTAAATAGTGGCCCTACTCAAAGTGACTCACCAATTCAATAAAATCCTCATTTTAATACCAATTATATTCTTCAGAATTAGAAAAACAACCCATTATAACTAACACATTCAAGGAGCAATATCCCTAATTGTCAAAATCTCTAATTGTCAAAGCAACTCCAAGGAACAAACCTGAAGTCCCTGTAATACCAGCACAACAATAGACAGTAACCAAAACACCAAGGCACTGGCATAAAGATAGAGAGACAGACACACAGACACAGACACAGACACACACACACACACACACCGATGAAACAATTAGATAACTTAAGTATAAAAGCCTGCATGTTCAGTGTTATCCTTTGGATATAAAATGTTCTCCAAAAACTAGATGCTCAGTTCTTCACTTCCAGTTTGTGGTGATGTTAATAGATAGCAGATAGAACCCAGTGAGAGAAAATGAAGTCATATTTAGGATGTCTTTCTTTCCTTACTGCAGTGAGACAAACAGTATGTGTTCCCTGCTACGATGCTTCTTTCACCACAGGATGAAAGTAACATAAACAAGTATGGTTTGAATGAGGTGTCCCTCATAGTCTAAGGCATTTAAATACTATGCTCCTAACAGGTCGCCCTGCTCAGGGAGACTTAGGAGACATGTTCTTACTAGAAGAAGTATGTCACCCAGGAAGGGCTTTGGGAATTAAAACACTTTCCAATTCCAGTTTGCTTTCCACTTCCCATTTGTGGTTGGAGATAGGAGCTCTCAGCTATTCCCGCTGCCATGCCTGGTTTCTGATTCCAGCTTCATCAGAGGACTCTTGGGCCTCTGGAACCATGAACTCCAAATAATCCTTTCCTTCTTTATGCTGCTTTGGTCATGGTATTTTATCACAGCAGTAGGAAGGTAAGTAACAACAAGTAATCACTGGGTGAAACTTTAGAAAGCCATAAGCCAACTTAAATCTTTCCTCCTGTTAAGAAGTTTACTTGCAATCACATTGAGAAACATGCATATCCACCAACTGAGGAAAGCTATGTAATAAAACTTCTTTCTCTCTACACAGAAATCAGCTAAAACTGTACCAAAATTTAAATATGAGGTTAAAACTACAAAGCTTTTAGCACATACAGAAAACACTTTGGAATAAGGGCATACACAGTGTTTTAATATATGTGAAAAAGAGCAAACAGAAGCAAAAGTCAAGTTGATTATGAATCTCAAAATCATCTCTATAGAAAAGTATGCAACTAATAGAAGAAATAAACCTACATGGTGAAAAATTATGGGCAAATGATTTATCCAATAAGACATTCACTTATAGACCAAATAATGACCCTGATCACCTAAAGAGAAGGAACACAGTCAACCTTTTCTTAAATCTGGGTAAATGGCCTAAAGAGACATTTCTCAAACACAAATAGCCCACAGTGGGGGGGGGGGGGAGGAAGAGCTCATTGCTCATCATGAAAATACCAATCATGACCACAAGGAGGTGTTGCTTCTCTCATCCTATGGTACCTTGAGATGCACAATAACAAACCCTGAAAGGTCTCATAATGCGATGGTACTGATATAACTCAGTACAGCTAATATGAAATACAATATGATGCATCCTCAAAAAAAAAAAAAAAAAAACTGAACACAAAATTCTGCATGATGGTCTAATTGCACTGTTGACTGAATAGTTAAGGAAAGTACTATGTAGAGAAATCTGCAGCCCCTTGTGTATTACAGTGTTCTTCACAAAAGCCAAGAAAAGTGTCCATCAACAGAGGGCAGTGAGGAACCTGTGTCAAAAAAACTAATAATCATAGGAATGAATAAAAAGTCTTAGAGTGTCATGGTGAAATGAATGAAAAGTTGTACAGTGACATGGACACAACTGGAGGGCATTATGTGAAGCTACTTCCTCTGAGCTTAAAGTACAGCAGCTGTGGTAAACTGCAGTAGACACTGGCCCATGGTCATGGTAACAGGAGCCATTCAGTGAATGTCTAGGTCTGGGATGGTGAGGACATAATAAGTCTCTTAAAATTTCTACACAGGATTGTCATAAACACAAACAACATTCCATTTAGGACTGGCTTTTAGCCAACTATGTGGCACAAGTAGATATAAACTGAGTAGGGTTGGTACCTTTATGCAGCACAACTATCTGAATGCTCTTATTCTCCAAGAATCCCAGTAACTTTACTTATTCTCTAAGGTGGAATTGACGGAATCTTTCTTTTGGCATATCTACTCATTTCATAGTTATGAACAAAAGTTTCTTTATGTCTGCCAGGAAAAAAAAATCGGTCATAAGCTAAATGTATCATAAAACATCTTACTCCCAGAACAAAAAACAAAAAACACCTGATAGTTCTCATCTCATTTGAAAGTTAAGGTTATCTTGCAGTAGCAGATGGGGAAAAAAAGCAGCAATTATCAGAAGGTAGAAAATGCACAGAGGAGAGAGGAATGGACAGAAGACAGGGAGTATTTACTGAGATACATATGGAAGTAATTCCTTCCCCTCACCCCCATGACAGGGTTTCTCTGTGAAGCTCTAGCTATTCCGGAACTCCTTCTGTAGAACAGACTGTCTTGTTTTTATCTTGAAAAACAAACAAACAACAACAACAAAACAAAACAAAAGGTCAGCAATAATTCCTATAATTACCAACCAAAAATACACCTGGTACTGAGAGTTACACAACAGACTCACCCAAAAACATGAGGCTGTTGTAGTTCTCCAGCATCACATCCCTGTAGAGTGTCCTCTGAGCAACATCCAGGTCCTGCCACTCATCCCAGCTGAAGTCCACAGATATGTCCTCAAATGACACAGAACCCTATAATGACACATTTCTTTTTAAACTCTAAGTACTCAGCATGCTTCACTATCATCTCTATGCGATTTGCATTGAAGACTTGACAAGATGTGGAACTTTGGAAGGGAACCACAATGACAAACTGTCTTAGAGAATGTTGATATGAGTTGGTATGTTTTAAAAAGTAGATTAACTGAGGTGAAAGCACCCGCCCACTATGGATGCTAGGTTTCAAGGGCTGGGTCCTGAATTTTAAGAAAAAGAGAGAGCTAAGCATGCAAACATTCCTTGTTTCCCATGTTTGACTATGGATTAAATGTGATCAGTTACCTCAAGCTCCTGCCACTGTGATTTCCCTCCATGGATGAAATATGCTATTAAACTGTGATTTGAAATAAACTCTTTCTCCTCTACTTTGCTTTTGTCTGGCCATTTTATCACAATAAAAAAGAAACTAAGATAGTGACTTACAGAAGGTCTCATCACTTGATTTGTAACATGAAACAAAAGCTAATATAAATATTTTACCTTTGTTAATGCAAGGATTCAACAAATTTTGACTAAAGAGTCTTCTAAGCAAGTACACTACAAACAAAACCTGATGCCCAATCTCAAGCCACTGAAATCTACAGGTCCATCAAATCTGCCTATGCACTGAGTGTCTCAGCTGTAACAGAAGTGATGTAAAGTAATACAGGATAAACCTCACCCTTCCCTCCTCACCCAAGCTCTAGGAATAAAGGGATCTGGACAAAAGCAAATCCTCCTGGATCTCAAAACAAACAAACGAAAACAAATGGTTTTAAGTGGGCATGTGCCCACTTTCCTGGGCTGAAATCTCCAGGAGCAATGCAGACAGGACATCTTGCTCTCTAAACAAAGCTGTGTGAACAATTATGCATGCCTTCAATCCCAGCACTTCACTTAGGTGAGGCAAAGGCAGGCAGATCTCTGTGAGTTCTAAGCCAGCCTGGTCTATATAGAAAGACTTTGTCTCAAAAACAAAACAAACAAACAAACAAACAACAACAACAAAAAAAATAGCCTACACGTGTTTGAAAGGACAAGAATGCAGCTAGTACTCTGTTGTAAAAAAACAAAAAACAGGTAAATTATGTAACACAGTCTTGGTCAGAGAAGCTTGTTCACAGTAAGAAATAGTTAATATAAATATAGAAACTGTAACTGGTGAGAATGCTGAAAATAAGTGACTGTTGACTGCTCAGTTGTACATGGGACATCTATTCTCATCCTCTCCAACAACAGGGCACACCACTGAAGAGGGCATGGAAAGTGTCAGAGTCAGCTTATGGGAAGGAGCACGGGGAAACACTGTCAGAACTGACATAGTTATTGCACCCAGGAACTCACAGCTGTGGTGCCTACTTGCCTAAAACAAGGCCCATCAACAATTTTAAGAAGCGACTATTACTATATAAAATGGTTGTACTAATTTTGTATTTCCCCTCTTTAAAAATTATTTCATTCATGTATGTGATGTGCTTTGACACACTTACCCAATTGTCTCTTTACAACAAATCTCCCTAGTACTTTCATGTTTGTGTTTCCTACAATATTTTACTAGGATGTTTTTGCATAGGGGGAGTTTATGTACTTGAGTAAGGGCACCTTCCCAGTGGGCCACAACAATGAGAAGTATGATAACCCCTCCTCCAGCATCTATTAATTATCTAGAGCTCCACAGAGAGAAATAGGGCTTTATGTGCCTATCTCCCATCCTTGTCAGCAGTAGTGGAAAATGGGACATAGACATGGCTTTTCCCTGCTCCCTGCAACTACTTGAGGAACTGTTTTCAGAGGCTGCCACTCAGGTAAGGATAGGTTTCCTTTTAAAATTATTTTTGTTATTTTTTATTATTTTTAATTGGGGAACACTTGTGCAGATGATCACAGAAGCCAGAGGAATTTGCTACCCCTGAAGCTGAAGTTACAGGTAATGATGAACCACCTGATGTGGGTGCTGGGAATCAAACCTGAGTCCTCTGGAAGAATGGTACATGCTCTTAAGCACTGAGCCATCTCTCCAATGCCACAAGCGACATTTCTTGACTTTGTTACAGAAAAAATTCAGGAGAATCCAGCATCAAACAGTTGGAATTTATTAATGCAATTTATGCAGAAAGTGAGGACAAAGGAAGGGAAAGACGAGTACACATCCAGCAGTGATGTGGGCTTTCCAAGAGCCACCCTTAAGTTTCTTTAGATCAATGACAGATAATAGGTAGGTAAGTAGGTAGATAGGCAGACAGACAACAAGATCTTGGGAACTAACGACCTTTCATGTCAAAGGATCACTCAGAAACTTAAATATAGTGTAGTTCCCAAGCTGCACTGGATAGGTTAACACCGTAGAGGTAACTCAAGAGTTGTAGAACTTAAGACATTTTTACTGTTAGTAAAATAATATGTAGTCTTCTGTGGGTTATTCCCAGAAAAAAATTCAGGTCCATGGAAAAGAAAGGTCTACTTTAAAAGGTCATGTATTCATAGGTTGCAAACACAGTTCACGGCTATTTTGACATTCTTATGTGAAGTACTGTTATACAGAATAACTGTGGTCTCTACAAAGGCAACCTTCACAGTAAATCTTGTTAATTTTATAGAAATTCCTGATTCCTAGCTAGAGACAACAGACTCTAGGACTCCTATGTTCCCCTAATTTTTGGTGTGGGGCGTGGGGTGAGTTGGTGCATGTGTGTATGTATAAATTTGTGGGTGTGTTGGAGATTACAGGTTAACCTTGGATGCCTTCCTCAGTCTAAGTCCTCCTTGTTTTTGAGACAGGCTCTCCTACTTTCCACGTAGAGCTTGCTCATAATTAAGCCAAGCTGGCTGACATGTAAGCTCCAGGAATATATCTGTCTCCAACAGCATACTTTTAAAGATCTACTGTTTTTAATTATCTATGTGAGTGTGCAGGTGAGTACAGGTGCCCACGGAAGAGCAGTGTTGGAGCCCCTGGAGCTGGAGCTTGAGGAAGTTGTGGACAGCCCTACATAGATGCTGAAAACCAACTCCAAGAAGAGCAAGGACTCTTAACTGCTGAGCCATCTCTCCAGTCCCCTCAGCCAGTACCGTTTGTTTAAGTGGAAATTACTCAGATCCTTATGATTGTGCAGCAAGATAAACAGATTAAGCTATTTTACTATAACAATGTTTTTCATGCACGTGCACATATGTATGTTGAGAGAAACAGAGGCAGAGAGAGAAAAAAGAGAATATGAATGTGAGCATCCATGTGGAAATAGACAGGCAATCTTTCAGTTTTGCCTTCCAACCTGAGGCAGTCTCTTTTGTTGCTTTTCTGTAGAATATGCCAGGCTAGCTTCTTGAGATTTTTCTCATCTGTGCCTTTCATCTCTCTAAAGGGGGCACTGAAATTGCAAACATTCATACTACATGCCCAGCTTTGATATAGATTCTGAAGGTTTGAACTTAGGTCCTCACACTTTCATGGCAAATACTATATATTAAGCTATCTCCCCAGCCTTCCCTCATCTTTCCATGGGCTATGCTTCTACCTTCAGATTTCCTCAAACCCTCCTTCTCACACACAACTGACACCCACTCTCAGATCCCCTCCAAATCTCATCCCTCTACCACAAGGAGTTTCTTCAATGAGGGGTGGGAACTATACTTATCTGTGGGTTTAAGGTCAAATATTTAGAAAGGAGTTTGAGATTATGCTGGTTTAGTAAAATGGCAGTTGTAGGTTCTCCTCTACAATCCATGACTTCACTAGTTCAGAGTAGTTGGCTAGGTTTCCAGTATTAGGCAAGTAATGCAAAGTTGTAGAGCTAAAGCCTAACTAATACACCTATAACACAATTCCTGCACCATTGTCAAAGAGGAAGCAGAAAGACAGTGTGCGCTAGAGAAACAGGGAGCTTGCTGTAAGATTGTGTTTCCTAAAAATGTCAGAAGTGAGATCCTTGAAGTCTCTCCAACATGGCTGCCTAAATATGCCTGAACAAGGACAACAGACATAATAACTTGGACAGGGAAAAGCTCAGGAGGCCTTAACGCCAGACAAATAAGTATGGCAACTACAGAAGGCTGAGCACAGGGGAAGTTGTCCTTCCCAGGGAAGAGTACACCAATTAGTTAGCCCTGAAAACACATACATACAAGTAACATTACACAGACTGAACAGGTTGCGTGTATGTACTTAGGAACACACAACAACAATTGTTTTAAAAAGGAGACATAAACTTGGAAGAGAACAAAGTTGAGGTTAAATATAAGAGGCTGGAAGAAGGAAAGGGGAAAATGATGTAATCATAATTTTAAGAAATAAAATTAATTTAAAAAGTCTCATCCCTATAGAACGTTCCATCATTCTCTTCTCTCTCGGAACCACTTCTCTTACCCTCAGACTGCTAAAGTGTCCTCTTCCTCAGACCCTCACATACTCAGAATCTCCCCAAATCTCTTCTCTCATACCCCTTTAACCTCAACTCTCCTTCCTCAGAACTATTTTTCCCCACTTCTCCCTCAGACTTCTGCAGGCTACGTCCCCTATCAAAGACCATCACCTCCCTGCTAAAACCCTGATTCCTTCCCTCACATTGCCTTTTCTCCTCACACTTAGAGGGCTTTCTCCCTGTACCCCTCCCAGAGGCCTCCCTCAGACACTTTTGCTCTTAGTCCACCTTCATAGACTGAGGATCATCAGCATCATCTCTTCCAGTCTTTAGATGCCTTTCTGAGCCGAGTGCAGCCACAGTCTTCTGCAGTCCCATGATGGCCAAGCGACTGCTTCAGGGTGTCAAGCTGTGGAAAACTCAGTCTGTTTCAGTCCTAGGCTGGCCTTGTCAACAGAGACCTACCTGCAATAAAAAGAAGAAAAAAGAAAAGAGGAGAGAGGGTGATGGGAGACAATGAACATAGGGACTGATTTGCAGATACAAGACACCCAGATAAAGAACCAGAGAACCCATATGCCCCTGGCCATGTTTGGGGGACAGTTCCCATTCCTGTCTCACTGATTCCTACATCCTTTCCCTCTGGCCCTTGTCCTGGACTGATTGCCCAGAACTCAACCATAGCACTAACTTGTCCCAAGTTAAGCCTGGAAATGCTCCCCAATAAGGGTGCACCACAGGTGGGAACTGGAGAATACCTGAGACATGTCCCCAAACAGCAGTTTCAGCTGCCCACCTGCCAAGCCCTCCCAGGTGATGGACAAGTAGGGAAATGGGATTCAACCTCCACCACCACCTCAGTGCCAGCTCTCAGTTTCTAACTGCGGCCAGCTGATGAGTCTCGTGATCTGGGCCTCTCACCACATCTGTACCTCAGTCTACAAGTCTCTTTCATTGTGTCTTCCAGATTCTTAAAAGTACCACTTTATCTGGAAAGGCCAAGGTGCAGGGACCCTACCAGGACAGACCCATTCACAGCCTCTTTGCGCACACACACACACACACACACACACACACACACACACACACACACTCATACACTGAACCCTAGATTCACCACAAGCAGAAGCAGGGGTGACAAAAGAGCAGCTGCCCTGGGTTTCCATTTACTTCTACAAAAAGAGGAACCAGTAATAACACTGATGGTGTAGGTCTATAATCCCAGCGACTTCAGAAGCCAGTACAGGAGAATAGCAAGTTTAAGGCCACACTCGGTTACACTGGGACTCTGTCTCTACCATGGCACAGAATTTGCCAAATACGCTCAAATCTCCAAATTCCGTCCTGAATATCATATGTACACACATACAGCTCAAAGAAGAGCCTGATAACAGTTTACCCAGTAAGGAAGTAGGAGTCAGTACTCCAACCTATGACCTAGAACTCCAGGGTCTCAGAAAAAAATGGATCCTGTTGAACAGACGTTAAGAGATCCAGATATTGAAAGATGAAGTGACAGCAGACATAAAACAGAGTGGGTTCACGTGCCTAGGTTCTGACAGTCAAAGCCAGTCACGCATGCAGAGATACATCACACAGATTCAGAGCAACAGCCTGACACACAAACGCAGAGGCATACCAAGTGTTGCGGTGGGGTAAGTCAGCTAGCCCTTAACCCACCTCCCCAGGCACATAGGTGAGTAGTGGGGGGGCACAGAGGCAGTCGGCTACTGCCTTCTCAATAAAGGTAATAATCAGAGTCGCATAGCCCATTTCGTAGTGACCCCAAATGACTCAAGGAAATGCTTCCTTAGGACGGGTGGTGAGAGACTCGAGGAAAGACCAGCCCGAGACAGCAAAGCCACAGCGGAGGACGGTACTCATAAAACTAGATATGGAGAGTCCAACTCAAAAACCACAAGGAAACGGGGACACACAAACCCAGAGGCGCACGCAGAGCCCAGGGAGGAAAGGACAGCGGGGTCCGAGAAAGCGCTTGCGCGGATGCGGCTCCGGGGCTGCCTGCTGCGTGCCGCAGGGCGCCTGGACAGACCACCTTCTAAAGCCGCTCCCGGCCGCCCCCGCGCCGGCCCGGGTCTGAGAACCTAGCACGCCGCCAGGCCCGAGTCCAGTGCTGGGCTGGACACGGTGGCCTGAAGTGGCGCGGCGGGAAGGTGTGGAGCAACCACACATGGCCCCGTCAGGACGCCAAGCGCTCACCATTTCCGGTTCCTGGCCACCCGCGTCCTCGCTAAGGGGCAATTCGCAGCAGCGAGCAGCCAGACACTCGAGACAGGACGAGGCAGAGAATCCCAGGTACCGAGAAGGACCTGACAGATCCCAACGGGGGCGGAGGTGGGAAGTGAACCTCAGTTCGGAAAAAAGCCCGCCCTCTCTTCTGTCAGGGAATCTGATTGGATCCTCTTATAACAGTGCTTTCGATTGGACAGGGCTTCCGGTCTGGACTCCTGAGTGATGAAAGAGAGGGGTGAAGATTCAGTTGACTATGTAAGCCAGAGATACCTTTGGATGGCCCTAAGCCATCCCTCCAGCCCCATGGAAAGACTGCCCAGTTCTCGCTAACGGATATTTTAAGGCAGAAGCCTAGCCCCAATTAATTGAATATTTGAGGTTAACCTTCTACGTAAGTTTCTATCAGGTAATGATTGATATACAAATGTTTCTTGTTCATAGGTGGAAATAGTATCAGCCTTCATAAAAAACTAGACACAGGCTGATATTTTGAGGGGTTGGCATGTAAACAAACATGAAAAAAATATGTTCAGATTTTTTTCTTCTCTCCTGGACATTTACACTGCCATATTCATATTAGAAGCAGGATTCTTTTTTTTTTTTTCTTCAAGTAGCTGGTGCAGTCAAATATAAAATATTTTACTAAAAAACAAAACAAACAAACAACAATAACAAAAAAACCCGTACGGTAGTGGGAGAGATGGCCTTTGATGGCAAACGATGGTTATATTGATGGCTAGCTTTATGTTTAAAAGTTTAACTAAAAAGCAAAATTGGGCTTCCAAATGTCAAGGGTTGTTTTGGTAATTGCCTGATCCTGTAAAACTTTAACAAAACTGTTGTTCATGCAACATGATTCCAAGGTTAACAGCTGTTTCTGCTTCTGTAAAGCAAAGCTTGTGTTGCTGGAGAACCAGGACACCTACCTGCATGATATCTGTACAAGCATGTAATTGCAGTGCCCCCGGAATTCAGAAGAAGGTGTTGTTAAATGTAACTTTTGGGTTTTTTTTTTTTTTTTTAATTGTGTGATTGTTTGGGGTTTTTTTTTTTTTTTTTTTTTTTTTTTTTTTTTTTTTTTTT